GCTAGCTATTGTGTTAGAATGGCTAGGTTGTTGGATTATCGTTAGATTGGAATGGTTTAGTGTGGAATTGATTGGATATTCTTGCACTTATCTGAAGTATTGAAATGATTGGTTTATTGTTCAAACTGCTTTTTGTTCCGCTGTCTTAATGTGATTGAATTGATTGGAAGTTGAGAGTTAATGTTTATGGGAACTACTTTCTTAAAGCTTTTGGTTTTTAACTGCAGTTCTTACCAGGATCCTTGGGTGCTCAATTCCAGAACTACTTGCAGCTTGTGTTACCTGTCATTCTGGATGGTGAACCTATCACTTTTTTGGGCTGACTTTTAATTTCAAATCTAGCTTTTGACATGTTGACTAATTTGCTGGTTCGCTAATGCTTGATTAGGTCTTACCGATGAGAATGAATCTGTTGGCGATGCAGCCCTGGATGCTGGCCATGTACTGGTAAAGCACCATGCAACAATATGCGAATTTGCGCTACACCTGTTTCTCGTTGATTTTCTGTTTTGCATGGTTTGACTATTTGATTTACTGTTGGCTTACTATCATGCGTAGATTAGTTAGATTTGCAACCATTTGATTAGTTCTTTAATGGTGTTACTAGGTACCACTTTTATTCTTCTTGAGGNAGTTGTAGTTTATAAATTGGAGTAACCTGTGATAGATNAAACCAAAAGTATTTATTTGAATTGATTGTTAATAGTTAGGATTTTAGGTCTTGTATCAGGATCCTGTATAGAATCCGTCAAAGTTCTGTCGAAATNCTTGGGGATTTTTTGTGCTATGTTTTTCTTGTTCTTTACTCTACCTCTGAAATANTNTAGCCCANGATTTACTTGGTAATCATTGTCCTCATCCTGCTAACCTGTTATATTGATCTTGCAATGCTTGTTTATTAGCATATATTCGTAAATGTACAGATTCTATGTTAATGAAATAATGTGCTATTATTTCCAAGAAAATCTTGATACGTTATAAATAGGTGCCAAGCTTGCCTTAATATTTAATATTTGGAGCTTTTGTCCTAGGTTGCTGGTACGTCTGGCAAAGCTCTGCTGGAGGGTGTAAGTGATGATGAAGGTGCCAAGACTGAAGCGTAGGGTCGTGCAATTATCGATAATTTAGGAATGAACAGGCGCAATGAAGTTTCTGCCGCGTTATATATGGTACGGACTGATCAGCTTGTCTGTTTGTCAGGTAATGTTGTTAGTGCTTTATCGTCTTTCAGTTAAATGTATAATTTTGAAATTAAAGTCATATCTGCTCTTTCCAGGTGACACTACATGTTTGGAAAACTATTGTAGCTAATACACCAAAAACGTTGAAGGGAATAATGCCAATTTTAATGAGTACCTTAGTTTCTTTGTTGGCATCACAATCTTCTGATAGGCGGCAAGTTTGGATCCTAC